GAGACACCCCACTCAAAGTCCAAGCCTGCCCATAGCATTCATAAGGGGGTGGGCCTCGAAGATGCAGGAGATAATGGGGTGTCCTGCGTATGTGCAGCTGTATGTGCACACTTGGTGGATCACACTTGGGGCTATATGACCCCCTGTGGGTATGGAGAGCCGGGTGTTGGTGCATAGCTTAGTTGGGGTCAGCTTTGCGCTCTGTCTCATCTCCATGACAAGCACATGGCCATCTCACAGCTAGTGGCTCCTGAGTGTGTGGTCATAAGACATGTGCAAGAATCTCCCATAAATGGGGCGATATGTCCTAGCCCTGGTTCTAGAGGGGCTGGGTGTGCGTGTGTGTGCACTCGCGTGTGTGTGCACTTGCATGTGTGTCTGGGAGTCTGCAATGCACACTGGGTGCCTAAGCATACCTGCGACCAGGTGTAGGGCAGCTTGTGGGTCCCACTTTGCAGGCATCTGCACAGAATGGAATGCACAGAGCCTCAGGCGTTTTGTGGGACCACTTTACTGACTCTCCAGTCCCCTCCTATCAATAAATTAGTCCCTCTTGGGGAACAATCCGGAATTGTAGCTATTAGGAAGAGGTGGGGCCGAAAGAGGCACAGGCCAATGAGAGTGCAGCACCTGAACTGGCAGTCAGAAATCCCCCTGGGTGGGAGTCAGCCTTGGGGGCCAAGGCACCCACCCAGTCCTTCCCGGCAAGTGACCCTGGAGGCATAGCTCCAGCCCAACAAAGGTGTTTCCTTGAGCTACTTTGAAACTCGGTCCTTTGCTGGTGTTTGGGGAGCCAAGGTGCCCAGACCACTCCCCAACGCCCCCTTACCCCAGGGGCTAGGACGCTTAGCGCTTAAGGCTTACAAAGGGCGGCTCGCGGGACCCCCGGTTTCTTTGAAGCCAAGAGTAGTCAGGATGAGGAAATTCCAGGAATGACCGCATCCAGGCTGAGATCTAGTTCAGGCGGATTGCCCCAGCCTCAGTTCCTACCTCTGTAAAATGGGATGGGCTGACGTTCCCTGCGGGTGGCTGTGAAGATGCGAGGCATCGTAGGGGGAGGCACGCAGCAGACACAAACGTCAGCTCAATCTAGCCAGCCTCCCTTTTTAACTAGTCCAGGTGCCAGGGCCTCCCTGGCAGCCGCCGCGGCCGGCGCCTAGTCCGTGGGGTCCACAGAGACCCCGCCCCCGCCGCGAGCTGGAGGCCCGCGCCACCCGGTGGGGTGGGGGCGCGCTGACGTGGGCGGATCAAAGTGGCCGCCCGAGCCTTATAAAGCCGTCCGAGCGCCCCGCGCAGCAGAGCGCGCCCGGCTTCGGGGAGAGCTCCAGCGGGCGGGCAAGCGAGCGAGCGGGCGAGCGCGGGCAGGCAGGGAGTCGAGCGCAGCCGGGAGCAGCCCGCGTCCGCCGCAGACTCGAGTCCGCCCAGAGCCGGCCCCCGCTGGCCCGGATCGCGGCCGTCCTTCTCCGGCCGCTTTTCGAAGAGCGGACGCTTGCCTCCTGCACAACTCCGGGTACGCCCCGGCCCGCTGGGGCCGCTCTTACCGTTCGTAGAGCCGGCCGGGGCAGCGGGGGCCCGGCGAGCGCCCTTGGAGGTGAGCACTGGCCGCGGCGGGTGGACGCTCAGCGGGGACCCTCTGAGACTGGGAGCTTCTCGCACCCTCCGCGACCCCCTTGGGTACCCACTCCCCAGGACGCTAACCAAGCCCCAGTCCGTGTGTCTCCGCAGCTCCTGCTACTGAGCGCAGCTTCTGGGGGCTGGGGGCGGAGGAGTTAGGAGGGTGCGTGATGGAGGGTGGGCTGTGCAGTTCCTATCCGCGACCCCAAGACTTCCCTAGTCTGCTGCCCCCTCCTCTCTACGAATCGACCCCCCTCCCTTCCTTGCGGCGGGCGGATGAGGTCACGCCCGAGCCATCCCGGGGGTGGGGGACTTGGATCCCGTGGCTAAGGGTGTGTGTGGCCAAGTGGGAGCAGGGGGCTAAGGGTAGAGAAATTCGGCTGTTCCTACCGCGTCTTAAGCCACAAGTGGGTGGGGGTGGGGGTGGGGAGCCGCTGCCTCGCTTTAAGAATAGCCCCGTGGGCGGCGGGGGAGGGGGAGAACCCGGGGTTTGTTTACGGACCTGAGCTCCAGGCTGGAGAACGGGGAGGAGAGTCCGGTCCTCGTCCTCGCTGCACTTCAGGCTGAGCTCGCACGCAAGCCCCACACCTCTTAGCCGACACCGAGGTGCCACCCCGTCCTTTGACGCCCTGGGGCGCGCAGGGTCCGGCTCCAGCGGACTGGTGGACGAGAAGTACCCGCAGCTTTCCCTGCCCTTATCTGCCCGCTCTCAAAATAACGCGGCCCGGGTGACCTGGCGCACAGTGTCCGCCGCAGAGCTGACAGATCTCGCCAGACTCGGGACTGGGGTCAAAGCCGGGTTTCGGGACGGGCCTCGCCCCGCCTCGCAGGTAACCTTGAAGCGGTCTCTCGGTGTCACCCGCCCGCCGGCTCGGCTCCCGGAGGCACGCGGCGCGACCCGAGGCTTCAGGCCTGCGGGCGCTGACCTTCCGCGCGGCGAGTGCAAGGGCCCCGCGCCGACGGCGTCCGGAGGGGAGACTCTGCAGGTAACTGCCGCCTTGGTTTCCAGGAACTCCCAGAGCCCAAGCCTTACAGCCACCTGTTGGCCGAGCGGGGCTGCGCACACGCTGGCGCCGCCCGCGGCTGCCCGGCTCCCCGGCGAGGTGGCCGGGGCCTTTCCTCAGCGGCGGTGGAAGAGTCCATGTAGCGCTCGGAGGATAGTGCGCCCGGGTGGGCGCGGTGGGCGCGCGTCGCGCCTAAGCCCGAAGGAGGCCCTGCACCGGGCCAGCAGCTCAGAGCGCAGCACAGCCCGCGGGCGGCTGATGGAACGACCCGAGCCATGAGGCACTTACTCCAAGCCCCGCGCTAGACCCGGGCCCCGAGGCCCAGGAAGAGGAGTCAGTCTCGGGGCGCGGGCGGTGTCTGCGGTCCCCATCTCGAACTGGAGCGTTGTGCCTCCTAGCGGGCCGGGATTCCGGGCAGCGGGTGCGCCCTGGCCCCCGGGCCCCACGCCGCTGTCCGGGACGCGCTCGGGCAGACGCTTGCTGGGGCCTCTGAGAAAGAGCCGCTCGGGGTAGCTGGACACCCGATTGCCTCGGTCCGCGAGTGTCCCAGGCAGGCGGCCACCCTTCCTCCTCCCCACCCAGGAGTGATGGACACCTTTGGGGTAGGGGATAACAGGGGAGACAGACGGTAACTAGAGTTTTGACCCACCCGATTGCCCATCTCCAGGTGATAGTTTTTGCCCATTCTGAATAAGGTGGTGAGCCAGTAGGGCAAAGGGTTTGGACTCATCCAGGGTGGGTGGGAGGAGGGGGCGCAGTTACACTGACAGCCTGTGGAGACCCCAGCCTTGCCCAGCGCCGGGCTTGGGCGCTTTCCTGGGGGGTTCTGAGGAGGAGTGGGTGGGGGGACATGTAACTCGGAAGTTTCCCGTGTGTCATGATGGAAAAATGTCAGAAACCAGCGGGCCTTCACATCCACGTGTGTTTACGGCACACACATGCACGGTATACGCAATCGCGAAAACACGTTAGCCAGCAGGGAGCTCGAGGGCCCGCAAGCGAGCGGAAGCCTGGGGAGATCTCAGGGGACGCTTCCTCAAGTCTGGGCCCCTTGTTTTTATGGAACCGTACGCTTTTCCAAGGGGGTGCTGCAGCGCTCGCCCTAGCTCTTGGAATCAGATGAGACTCCCCCCCCTCCCGCTCCAGCGTCCCCCACCTCCACCCCCACCTCCAGCCGGCGCCTCCACTTTCCAACTCCCCCAAACCCTTTGGAAAGGAATCTCTTTGTCTCTGCTGCTCCCCGGGGGAGAGGGGCCGGGGCTGTGTGTGACTCTGGGCGAGCCAGGTGTTAGTAAATTTGGGAGAAGCTGGAAAGGGAGTTAATGAGGTGAGAATGAAGAGGGGAAAGAAAAAAGCCGCAGAAAGCGGCCGGAGGGCTGCCGGAAGGCGGGGTCCGGGCTCCTCGCGGCCGAGCACGCCGCCTGGCGGCCGGAGGCGCGTCTCGCTGCTCGCGCGCGTCCCGCCGCCGCACCGCGCGCCCAAGGGGGGCGGGGGAGAGGGGCCGGCTGGAGAGGGTCTGGGCCCCGGGCCCTGCACGGAGTTTTGCTCTTACGTGGCTCATCCTCCCCTTCGCCGTCCATGGAGCAGATGCCCAGCGCAAGTCTCACCCTTCCTTTTCTCATGGGGCCTGATTTCCCCGCCTCTTTGGGCCTCAGTTTCCTCATCCAGGAGATGGGGGCCAGTGGTACCGGTAGTACCTATCTCACTGAAAAGCCGGGAGTGTCAGGTGCCCAATCTGTATATTGAGAGCCGGGAAGGGTAAGAATCGAATAATGTAATAACGAATAATCATTATTACGGGGCCCAGAGCCTGCGCCCCGGGCCCTCCTCGCCAGCGGCCTCCTTCTCGCCGGTGTGCCCACCTGGGTTTCGACCTCCCTCCGCCTCGAGTTCTTCGCGCGCCTCGGCTGGCGAGGTGCTCCCTCTCCCCGCTCTCTCTCGGCGTCTCGGGTCCTCGCGCCCCTCGCCCTTCCCGCCCGCAGCCCGGGTCCCCACCTGAGCGGCGCAAAAGCGCGGCG